AACACTTTAAACACATCAGGTTCTTGTTAGCAGCAGTATTCCCTTTACACAGCAGCAGTTATAACACAGTTATAATGATTCTGATCATAGATATTCAGCCGGTGTTCACAACTTTATCTTCATGTGTGTAAGAGATATTTAAATATACTTCTTGAAAACTGCAAACATATCTACGTCATGTTTTTATGTTTGTTAGATTCTCAGTAGTGATACTAAATGATGCTTATTATACATATTACACACAAAACACTTTAAAAACTCTAAAACAATAATTTAAATGAATTAATTCTTTTTTTGGTATTTTGGTATTTAGGTCAGACACATATGCAACGCTGATTACCGTAATATGTGTGGTATTTGTTATAAATGTACGTTGGTACATAGAGGGTGATAAGAAGCTGTACATGGAGGGACTTAGGACCCAGGGGAATGTAGGTGAAGGAAACAGGAAGAGACGGAAGAGACGCCACAGAAACAGCTGTTCACCACTCGCTGCCGGTTCTTGTGTTAAAAATGTCCGCTTAATAAAAAAACAAAAAAAAAAACTGCGTTAAGGCGCGATAAAATAATTGTCGGCATTAATTAATGAATGCGTTAACGCGATAATAACACATTAACTTGCCCAGCACTAATTAATATATATACATACATATACATATATATATATATATATATATACATACATATATATATATACACATATACATATATACATATACATATATACTGTATATAATAATAATAATGAGTAGTAACTGATCATGTGACCAGGTGTCAGGTGACAGGTGTCGGGTGACGGGTGTCGGGTGACGGGTGTCGGGTGACGGGTGAATGTGACGGGTGTCGGGTGACGGGTGAGTGTGTACTGAGCGTGCTCAGACTGACCTCGCTGAAGCCCGTCTCCAGGCCTCTGAAGTCCAGGATGAAGTTCAGCTCCTGGGTCCTGGAGTTGGACAGAGTGACCAGACGGTGCAGCAGCTCGTCCACCTGGTCATAGAGCGAGGACACCGTCTCCACCGCCGCCCGCTGGTCTAACGTCACGGTGACACCGTCCTCTCTGCGGAGCAGAGACAGAGAGGCCCCGCCCTCCTGCTGAAGCTGCACCAATCGGCTGTCCTCCAGGATGCTACGCATCACGGCCTGGTACCGGGACAGCAGCAGGTCGGCCTCCTGGGAAAGAAAGAGAGATTCAGAGAGCATGATGGGAAGATGGTAGTGTGTGTGTGTGTGTGTGTGTGTGGTACCTCCTCTGCAGCAGGTAGAGGTGTGTTCTGCAGGATGTTGATAGTCTTCTGCAGCAGCTTGATGACGTCTTCACACTGATTGGTCAGCTGCTCCACTCTCTGAACAAACACACACAATCATTTGTTGTTATTTTATTGTGTGTGTGTGTAGGTTTGAGTGTGTGTGTGTCAGTGTGTGAGTGTGTGTGTGTGTAGGACTCACTGATCTGAAACAAAGCCAGCTCCTCTGACTGAAGCTGAATGAACCTCCAAACTCTTCAGGAAGCTGCTGAAGATGCACCTGTTTGTGAAGAGACTTCAGAGAGAACAACACCTCCACCTGCGCGCACACGCGCGCACACACACACACACACACACACACACACACACACACACACACACACA